AATAATTTCATACTAAAATTTGTAATTCGAATGTGAATTGAATATAAATAAAATGACAGTTGGAATGATATGATGAATTTGTTTAAGGTTTTAGTTGTAACCTCGAAAAAAGGCCATAAGTAAACGAAAGAACTTAATAATTATATACACATGGAGTATGAGAATGATTCTTTCTACTTGACTTTGTCTAAGTCTTGATTATTTAAAATCTTCTATGATAACTAATATATACTAATTTAAATGTAAGATGCAAACACATGAAGGCACATGGAGTAAATAATAATAATAATATTATTAATAATAAAAGATAAATATATTTTTTTTGGTACCATTCGTGACACTCGTTATTATTTTGGTAATCTAAATAAAATCTGTATAAACATAGTTCATATTTAATCTGTGGTCAATGAAAAAATCTCTGGTACTAAAATATTGTCATATACACGGACATAGCATCTCTAGAACTAACATGGATAAAATATGTGACAATTTCTAACACTAATATCGACATGAATTTAATTTTGTAAATAAATATAAATATTTTATTTGATGTTTAAAATTAGAATGCGACTAGTCCATTAGAAATGTCATGTCAACACACTTGTTAATATTTCGGCACAAGAGGATATTTTCATTGACTATGAATTGAATATAAAACCATTTATTTTTATACAAATTTTACATAAAAGGGTCTATATGATAATGAATATAAACTAAAAAATATATATCCCTAATAATAATATATAATAAATAAAGTATAATTATCGAACCTGTAAAATATTTTTAATGAATAGTAGTGTTAAGATATATTTTATTAATTTTGGATTTAATATATTGCAAAATTATATTGTTTTGGATGAGATATATTCATATTGATATCATGTAATTAATTGTGGATAGGATAACTTGATTGAAAAATATATTTAAAAACTTTTAGGGATAAGATTAATTGATTAATAGTATGTTGTGATTTGTGAATAGGGATGGAGAAGATATTAAAAAAATTAACATACCAAATTTATAAGGCCAATTTTTTACATTTATTTTAACGATATTTTCAGTATAGAAAAAATTTCGACAACATAGTTACTATACAAACTAGACCGGTTCAATAGAGATATACTCAGAGGCGGAACCACCATAGTGCAAGGGGGGCTCCAGCCCCCCTGCCCGGGCCCCGCCCCCTTTATTTAATTTAAATATTTTTCTAATCTTTTTTTTTTATAAGTATGTATTTGTATATTAAAAATATTTAAATTACATAAAAGAATAATACTAAAAAAATAATTAAGTATGTTTATGCCTAGTGTTTTAATTTCATATAATTTTTTAGAAATATTATAAGATAATACAATATATATAACAAAAGTTAAATACACTTTTAGTTGTGATAATAAGATAATTTTAATAATTTTTTAAATATTCTTTTCTTTTTTTTTTTAAAAAAAACAGTTTTATTTATTATTTTTAAACAATATAAAAATAAATATATACAATATGTATTTTTTATTGCTTTACAACAGTGAAATATATATTTTTAATCAATGTTATTTTAAAAAAATTAAGAACTAGCCCCCTTTTGCATCGGCTTCTAGTTCCGCCTCTGAATATACTTGTCAATGATACTATGTTATATTTTGAGATAATTTTTGAATTTATATTTAAAAATGGAAGCATAGTCTATTTATTAAAGACACACAAAAAAAAACTAAAAAATATATGCAAATAATAACTATAAAAAATAATACTCTTTCCGTCTATCAAAATTATATCACTTTCTTTGTAAAAAAAGTTATATAAATTTGACCGAGAATGAGTACATGAAAACAAACAAAAAAGTGGCAACAATAACCACGTAGTTTAATTTAATTAGTAACAAATATAATGTGTATATATCCAAACTTTTTTATTTTTTATTGCTAGTATAGATATATATGCACTGTTGAATTTAAATAAATAATGGGTAAACTGTTTTTTTTAGTCCCGTAACTGGACCCTCTTATTATTTTAGTCCCGTAAGTGGAGCCTGTCACAAACTAATCCCATAAGTGAAAATTTTTTGTTGTTTTAGTCCTCCGACGCCGGAGACGCCCGAGTGGCTCGCCGGAGGTGACGTGTCCGCCAGGTGTCCCGCCAGGTCAGCGACACTTGGCAGACGCGTGGATTTTTTTAATTTTTTTAAAACTTATTTTTAATTTATTTTTAATTTTATTTGTATTTTTTTAATTTTTTTTATTTGGTCAAATTAAAAAAAGAGTTAAAAAAATAAAAAAAATAAAAAAATCCACGTGTCCGCCAGGTGTCGCTGACCTGGCGGGACACTTGGCGGACACGTCACCTCCGGCGAGCCACGCGGGCGTCTCCGACGCCGAAGGACTAAAACAGCGAAAATTTTTCATTTATGGAACTAGTTTGTGACAGACTCCACTTACGAGACTAAAATGATAAAGAGGTTCAGTTACGAGACTAAAAAAACAATTTACCCATAAATAAAAGTTGACTATAGCCATCTATAATGAAGTATGCCAAATTGTAACAATATGCATAGTTAATGTTGCAATGTTTATATCTTATTAATATGTATATATATATATATGTATATAGAAGGAAGATTAAGATGTTGATTAGGATTAACCAGTATTGTTAGATTACACGATGTAGTTTACTTTGTTAATATCGATGCAAATGATCATTTCACCTAAAAGCTTAAATTTGAAAATGTTATGACTTAGGGTTATCGAAAAGAATTTATTCGCATAAAAAGAAATAGAGTACCAAAGAGAAAAATCAATTCTTTATGTAATCAAAACCAAAATAACGACAGTCTAACCTAACATGAACATGAACTAGATGCAGCCTATATATAGGCGGACTTATGGACTAAGCGCCGGACTCATAGTCAACAATTAAACAGTAAATAAATAAAAAGAAAAATAATAAGAAATAAAATAATAATTATCCTAAAACGAATACGGTGTTTCTCCTTCTTCTAATATAGACTTTAACTTTATCCAACTTCATAACAGAAGATATATGCATCATATATTTATTTATCTTTATCAATATTTATGTTATGCTAACATATAATTTTGTGATGAGATTAATTTAAAATGGATGTATAAACTACTTTATATAAAATTTAATTCATTGTATAATTCATTTTTACACTAATAAAAAAGATATGTAAAATCCTATTCTGTGTATAAATATTTTTTGCTGATGTAATTTTCAATGGGTATCACTAAAACATAAAATATACAAACACAATTACATAATATATATATTCAGTCATAAAAATCAACAAAAAAAAAAAACACAGTTATATATATTACCAATATGATTATCAATAACTAATATAAAAATACATACATAAAAAAAAATAAAAAAATAGACACACTCAATTTTTTAGATTTTTTTTTAAAAAAATTCCTTATTTATGCAATATTTTTATAAAAATACATTATATATATATTTAAAAAACATCACAACTCAAAATTTGAGATTTTCTTTTTAAATTCCTTATTTATGCAATATTTATAAAATGCCTATTTTTTCTATTTATGTGCATCTCACATATTATTATTTTTTTTTGAAATATAATTATACTTTACATTTTAAATTTCATAATTTACAATTTTCTTAATTTTAATTAAATTATTAGTTATTTTTATCTTTATCTTTAATTATTTTTATTAATAATTTTTTTAATTATTTGCTAATTATATTTATCTAACTTTTCGTATATGCAGTAATACGAACAATTTAGTCGGGACATAGAGAGTATTATTTAAATACAAACATACGAACCAAACACATTTCCAAAAAATGTTTGACCTTAATATTTTAAAGTCAATTTTAACAAAATTGAATATACCTTTGTTGATCAATTCCAACCTATTTTTTATTTTTATTTTTTTTATTTTCATCAAATAATCAATTCTTTTCATTGAAGATACGCGTACACATTTTTCTTTTAGATTTAGAAATGATAATTTGAAAAGGACTGTTCTTAAATATTTTTAAGATATTTGTAAATTTTATGTTTTACCTTTTTATTTTCACTATTCATCTACAATAACATTTTTTTTCTCCAAAAAAATATCACATCATATACTTATATTATACTTAATATGTATTACATTCAAATATAATTTTTATTTAAAATATTACATCAAACATATATTTATATCATTTCAAATAATTATTAAAATTCAAAATTCTATTATTTCCAAAACACAACAGAACAAACTCATACTTTCTTTTCAATTTCTAAACAATTTTCTACTATTTAGATTCTAAATTTTTCTTTTTTAATATATATATATATATTTTTTTCTTACAAAATGTCACATAAAAATATTTAAATAAAAAAGTCAAACCTCTAAATCCATTCGAGACCAATAAGAACCACTAATTTAAAATTTGTGGGATTTTTGCTATCAGTGTGAATTGTGATGTTGTTTGGTAGAAATAATTTTTATAAAAGGAAAATATATTATTATTAAAAAATATAATATTAATTTGCAATAATATAAAAATAAAATAATAAACTCCTACTTTCTATTTTTCATTTTGCTATTTTCAAACCAACAATTTTTTTAAAAAAAATATTCTTAAAATATATCTGAACAACAATTAATAAATAAATAAACAAATAAATAAATAATTCATAAGTAAACAGAAGGCTGCCTGCTTTAATGTCACGTCTCTATTGTTGGAGTTGGCCTTCAGTTATGGAAATAAAAAATAATTTGTTCCAGGTAGGGTCTTCCAATAACAAAATACTTGCAATATAATATAAATATATATATATATATATATCTATAACTTGAATATTAATTTTCAAAAAAATGGCTTACCTGGAATGGTCATAAGGGCACTCAACTAGGGGAGCATTTACACAAAATAAATAAATAAATAAATAATTCGATCTTTTCTTGAAAACCCTGATTTTTTTGCAACTATAAATAGATGTCCTAATGTTTGTGATTTCCATATCCAATAATCTCATTATCACTTTCGAAAGAATTAATTCAAAGAAAATGATGATGAAGATGAAGATGAAGCCTTGTCCCACATTTTCGAACCTAATTTATTTCTTCATGTTTCTTGCAATGATCTTTTCGATCTCATCTAATGTTGTTGAATCGAATGAATCAGCCAACAATGGTTTCCTCCAATGTTTGTCGACTAATTTGCAAAACATTTCCAACATTGTCTACACACCAAACAACCCTTCCTACTTGAGGGTTCTTCAAGCTTCCATAAGGAACACAAGATTCATGTCGGCGCCGACGGCGAACCCTCGAGTGATCGTCGCTCCGGTGAGCGAATCGCAAGTTCCGGCGATCGTGAAATGCGCGAGACAAAACGGGTTGCAAATAAGGACTAGGAGCGGCGGCCACGACTACGAAGGTTTATCGTACTTGTCCGAGCTCCCTTTCGTGATCCTCGATTTGTTTAACCTAATCGACATAGACATAGATGTCGCGAAAAAAACGGCCTGGATTCAAACCGGTGCAAATAACGGTCAAGTGTACTACGCGATAAGCAAAAAAAGTAGTACACTTGCATTCCCCGGCGGCGGTTGCCCCACCGTCGGGGTTGCCGGGCTCTATAGCGGCGGCGGATACGGCGCTTTGATGAGAAAATACGGCCTTGCCGCAGATAACATCATCGATGCGCGCATGGTGGACGCCAAGGGAAGAATGCTCAATAGAGCGTCGATGGGGGAGGACGTATTTTGGGCTATTAGGGGCGGAGGGGGCGCGAGCTTCGGAGTTATAACAGCTTGGAAGGTAAATTTAGTCGACGTGCCCGAGAATATAACAATATTCTCGGTCGCGCGAACTTTGGAGCAAAATGCAACCGAGCTTATTTATCAATGGCAAGACATCGGTCATCGTCTTACCAAAGATATAATTTTCGTGATCAACGCTCAACCGATAAATTCGAGTACGACCGGGAAAAGAACTATTCAAGTCACATTTACCGCGCAATTCCTCGGCGGTGTCGATCAAGTGCTCCAACTGATGGGACAAAGCTTTCCGGAGTTAGGCGTGACGAGGGATGATTGTATGGAGTTGAAATGGATTCAAACCGCCCTTTTGTTCGGCGGATACACTCTGGATAAACCGTTAGAAATCTTGACCGAACGAAACCCTACGATTCCAAGTGCGATCAAGGCTACGAGGTTTAGTTTCAAAGCAAAACTCGACTACATAACCAAGCCAATGCCGAGACTCGCATTCAAAGGGTTGTGGCGATTTTTGTTGCAACGTGAGCCTAACACGGCCGAGTTGTTGATGGTCCCGTACGGTGGAAGAATGAGTGAAATATCCGCGACCGCGCTTCCTTTCCCTCATCGAGCCGGAAATTTGTACAAAATCCAACAATTGGTTTATTGGAATCACACCGGGCCATCGCCGAGGTCCTTACTATGGGTAAGAAGTATCAATAGGTTTTTGACCCCTTTCGTCTCTAAGTCTCCGAGATCGCATTATCTTAATTATAGAGATCTCGATCTGGGAGAGAACAACCTCGGCAACACTAGCTACGCGCAAGCGAGTCGATGGGGAGTGACGTACTTTGATGTCAACTTCGAAAGGTTGTCGAAAGTCAAAACGATGATCGATCCGAGTAACTATTTTAGAAACGAGCAAAGTATTCCGCTCTATAGAGGAAGAAACAACTGAAGAAGAAAAGTTTAGGAAGAAGATGCATAGAATTGCAAAACCATATGTGTTCATTAGATGCTTGGATGTCATTCTTGTGTAACTTTTGTCTTCGCTTTATAATTAATTTCTTGTAATAACACTAATAATAATTTCTAATAAATCATATTGTTACGGTGTGTTATTTCAATTATTATTATTATTTTTTATTGAATAAAGAATTTGTGTACTATGTTTCTGTGAGATAAAATAAAATATTTTTCTTTAAGATCTAATTTTAATAAAAACATATATGTTTTAGTACAAATTTATTTTATTTAAGAAGTTACAAAAATTGAAATATAAAAATGCATAAAAGCATGTTTGGATGTGACTTTTATTAGAAAAAATAAATTCTTTTACAGAAAATCACTATAATTGCATTGTAAAAAATCAGAAACCAAAAGAACTTGTGTAATTTTAATTAATTTTAAACATTACACATCTAGAATTTATTTTTAATTACGAACTTACTATGGTTCAAAACAACTTAAAATATAAAAATACAAATAACAAAACACCCGAATTTCATTCAATTCGAATAACATGAAATGATTTAATTTATTTGTGAATACAATTTAATTATTATTGGTGAATGATATAATATATTCTTGTTGATCTAAAATTAATGATGCACATGCCATATTATTATTATTATTATTATTATTATTATTAGACGCGTATAAATATTTTCAAGGTCAACCTTCAGCTTGGAGTTGACTATATTGCTTTTACAATAAGTTATTGTCCATTGGGATTTTCTATGTATAGGGTGGTACACACGTATACATACATATATATATATATATAATAAACATACAGTAGTTATATCATTTAAGACAATAATATGTTATGTTAATTGAAATTATTTAGCGACGGTTTATATTTGACTATATATGTCTTGTGAATTATTATCATAGGTTGTCGATTCATATATATTCTACAGTTATATTATATTAATATAACTATATTTTATTATCGATTAATATTTTATGTGTTGCTGTATATATTTGACGTGCTATCAGTATTGTCAATACAATACTGATTTAGCGTTGGAACCCTTGCCTAAAAGTCTTCGAATATTTTGTATAACTCTAATATTCGACAAACTAAATCTATACATATATTTTGAAACACCAAGCAAACAAGGCTGTGTTTAATTTTTAATTTTTTTTATTTGAATAATGTTTTTTGTACTCCCTCCGTCCCGTTGGAAGGGTGACGTTTGCTTTTTGCACGTAGATTTTTGAATATTAGTATTATATTTGATTGTAGTAAAAAAGACAAAAATACCTCTATTAGTATGGTGTAATATAAAAGTAATGACATTTATGTAATATATTGTAAGTTGAAAGAATATTTATTATGTTAAGTAGGTAGTACAATTACTAAATTAGGAAATGGTAACCTTGTTTTGAGACAGACGAAAATAAAAAATAGTAACCTTTTAATGGGACGAAAGGATTACAATATTTTGTAAAAATAAATATTATATATATTTCTTTTTATAAAAAAATTGTATAAATTGAATAATAAAAAAGAGTGACAATAATATCTAAGTAAATAAAGGCAAAGGGTTTGTTCATCTTTGTGTTTGGTTTTGTATTTGATATTAGTTTCTAGTTTAAATAATAGTTAAAATGTAATATTTTATTAGAAAACTAATACCTTTTTTACAAAAAGTTTTGAAGGTTGAATGGTTTAAAAAAATAGAGCCCAAATATAATATACAATAATATATGTGTGATATTCCATACATTTATGCTAAAATGCACATCTTATAATCATTGTGATAATTGTTTTTTTTTTTTTTTTTTTTTTGTAAACTGTTTTTTTAGTCCCGTAACTGGACCCCCTTGTCATTTTAGTTCCGTAAGTGGAGCATATTGCAAACTAGTCCCATAAGTGAAAATTTTTCGCTGTTTTAGTCCTCCGGCGCTGGAGATGCCCGCGTGGCTCGCAGGATGTGACGTGTTCGCCAGGTGTCGTTTTATTTCCCTAAAATAACATCTATACTAAATATATTTTATTGAAATGGAGTGTTTAAAATATTCAAAATTGATTTTAACCTTATTTTTAGTCAAATATATTTTATATTATAAATTAATTTATAACAAAAAAAATCATCATATTACTTAACAGTAAAATCAAACTTCCAACACAACCATAATTGTTCAAAATTTGTAATTAATTCAATTAGTACAAATAATTCAAATTCCATTTATTAAACAACTTTTAGCTGTTTTGATTAGTCAAAACGCAAATATAGGTGTTTGGTAAATTAGCTTTTTGAAAAAGTTTTTTGGACAAAAAAAAGCTAATTTTTGAAAAGCTCATCTACCCAGCGTTTTGAAAGAACTTTTTCATTTTAATTTTACTTATTCCTAATTTACCCTTAAAACTTAATTATTTATTTTATACATAAAAATATATTTTCATAGCAGTATTTATCAATTATTTTTAACATATTTAATTTATTAAATTATATTTTTATTTTTATAAATTTAAAATAATTACTATTATTAATTATTACATATAAATTATTTTATTTGTAAATATATAAACTTTTAAAACTAAATCAAATAGAAAAAATAAAGGTTATTAATTTATTTATATATATTAAAACAATAATTAACTTAATAAAAATATATATACGATAAATTTATTATTTTATATTTTACATAATTTCAATAAAAAATTTAGTAAAAATAATTTTCTCATATCTAAATAATAGAAATGAAAATAAATATTTTATAATATTTTTATAATTTTCAATAATTAATAAACAGCTAATGTCAAATAGTTGTTTTACCAAACACTTTAATACAAACCGCTAATTGAATCAGCTAGTCAAACCATGAATCAACTAACAACTATCAGCTAATTAAATAAATTAACAGTTAAAAACTATCAGCTAATGAAATAAACTAACAGTTAAAAACTATCAGCTAATTGGCAAACACGCCTTAGATTAGGTCAACCAATTTATACAAAATGTTCAACTAGTTTACATCTAGAATTCAAAGTCTTTTGCTGTCTCAAGACTTCTTGTCATTGAGAAGAAAAAAAAAAAAAAAACAATAATAATATTATTCCCTTCGTCTCACATACCATGCCCATGTTGTCGTTTTTTTCTGTCTCATATTCCATATCACTTTCATTTTTTGGAAAATGATTACACACTTTAATCTCATTTTAAACTTTTTATTTTTTTTTTAATTTTAATTAAACTAATTAGTTATCTTAATCTTAATTTATAATTATTTATATTATAAGATAATTATTTTCACTGATACATTCTTAATTATCTACTAATTACACATCTCCTAAAATACCGTGTCTACAGTGTAACATACATAATATGTGGGATGGAGAGAGTACAGTTTTGAAGAGCTATCGAAATGAGTTGAACCGATCAAGTTAGTCGGCCTCATTCCATCTTAAAGAAAGATTGGATTGAACTATTTTTTAGCTTGTCTCATCATGATTCACCCCATCAAAATCTACAAAATAGTGGACCGTGGGCGTTGGCTCATCCGCTAATGCATCTCGACAACAATTAAACAATTTGAAAATTGATTTTTAATTTTGAATAAAATAATTTTTTTTTTATAACGGTATATAAGAGTTTCAAATTACAATAAAACTTGGGTTTGGATTTTGAGTTGGGATTTGAATAGTAAAAATTTTGAATTTGAATAGTTGTATGATATGATATAAATAGGTGTTGATGTGATGTTTTGAATATAAAACTGATTTTTAGTATAATATAAAAAATAAAAAATAAGTGCTTGATTTGATGTTTTTGGAAAAAAAAATTGAATGAATAGTATAAATCCAATCCAACCCCCCAAACAAACACACTGTATCCTCTACGAGCTACATAAATAAACTAAGCGTACCGGTTATGGTTAGCTCCAAAATCTACCAAATTGCAAGTTATAATCGATTGTGGATTGACTCTTCCAGTTGTATGCGATGAAATAATGTATTTTTATACTCCCTCAGTCCCATAACAAAGTATTCATTTTTCCATTTTAGTCCGTCACATAGCAAAGTATCTATTTTTTTTAAGTAACTGTACTATCTACCTAACATTACAAATACCCTTACAATTTACAATATATTACACAAATGTCATTACCTTTATATCACACATACTAACAAGGTTATTTTAGTCATTTCTACTTTATTTTTACTATATCCTAATATAATACTAATATTTCTAAAACTACGTGCAAAAAGCAAATAGATACTTCTTTTTGAGATGGAGGGAGTATAAATTTACAATAGTTGTGTAGTGTTAAAAAAATACTACATTCGTCCACCGTCAATCTATCAATTTACTTTTTGTATGTTAATCTTTAAATATTAATTATTATATCAAAACATATTACAAATCAAGGAAAAACAACAAAAATACTTTTATTGGTGTCTTATAATATTAATGTAATGAAATCTGTACAAAATGTTATACAAATACATGATATTTTTAATGTTAAAAACAATAACGCCAAAATGGATAGATTAACAGTGTACGGAGGTAGTATATCATTTAAAAAAAAAATAGAGCCAAGTTATCAGTCACTTTGTGGTCTTTTTTCTCTTAGTTTATTTATTACTCTCTCGATCCTAACTGAAAGTATTTTTTTATTATAGTAAAAATAATTATATATTAATACTAAAATATTATTAACTTTTATATAAATTATAAATATATCATTACATATATACATAAAATACAAAAAAAAAATAATAAAATATTATTAATTTTCAATTTATTATAAAAACTCAAAAGAGCACATTTAACTAGGACAAAAAGAATATATAATTTCTCAATCCCCGTAAAAATATTTTTAATATATATATATGTAAATAAAATATCACATCAAAATATATCTAAAATAAAAAAAATAAAATAAAAATACAAACCTAAATCCAAGAAACATATCAAACACTTTTTTCGGCCCGAAATTAAATATTTATTTGCTTTTTGCACGTAGTTTTAAAAATATTAATATTATATTAGGATATAATATGAATAAAATAGAAATGACAAAAATAACCTTGTTAGTATGTGTGATATAAATGTAATGATAGTGTAATATATTGTAAGTTATAAGGGTATTTGTAATGTTAGGTAGATAGTACAGTTACTAAAAAAAATGAA